ATATCAAACAAGCGCGACTAGACGAATGCAACAGTGGCAGCTAGACCCAAGTCTCCTCCTCCTCCTTCTTCCGGACTTGCACCCAGCCAGCACTCTGACTGTCAACTCGAAAGCGAACTTGAAGTCCAGGTCCTGACAAGATGTCCTCTTCGCCTTATCCGGTCAAAGCCAAAGAAGGCGTCATTCCCCGATCGACCAAGGATGTCTTGTCAGGCACAGCAGGAGGCATAGCTCAAGTGCTGGTGGGTCAGCCTCTAGACATTGTCAAGGTCAGATTACAAACTTCTCCGCCCGGCACCTTTACCGGCATGGCAGATTGCGCCAGACAATTGGTCAAGCACGAAGGACCCTTGGCTTTCTACAAGGGTACCCTCACCCCTTTGCTCGGCGTCGGGCTTTGCGTCAGCATACAATTTGGAGTGTTTGAGCGCATGAAGAGAGAGTTTCAGGCTATCAATGCCAAGAAATTCGGTGATCAGAGCTACTTGAACAAGGGACTTTCATCCTCGCAGCTTTACCTCGCTGGAAGCGCTGCTGGTCTATCCAACGCCGTCGTAGCAGGTGAGTCGCGGGCGGATGGAAGCATGTCTGGGAGATGGCTAGAGATCAGTCCGCTGAACGCATACATGGTGATTCCATGCGCGCGTCTCCACGCAACAGGCCCCGTCGAGCAGATCCGTATCCGTCTTCAAACGCAAAAGAACAATCAGTTCAAGGGTCCGCTAGACTGCGCGAGGCAGATCATCCGAGCCAGTGGAGTATCGGGCATCTTTAGAGGCATGATCCCGACCTTTGCCAGAGAAGGTCACGGTATGGGCTGCTATGTGAGTTTCAGCATCCACGCGCGCTCACATTTTCCCTCAAACGATGCTTCTCACACGCTTCGACTCGTGGCAAATTATGCCCACCCCTTTGGACACCTTTTTTTTCTGCTCAATTCTCGCTTTGCTAGTTTCTGACATACGAGTACTTGGTGCAACAATTGCTGGCCAAAACGGGCAAGACTAGATCAGAAATGCCTGCCATCTATGCAGTGCTGTTTGGAGCTAGTAGCGGTCTGGCAGTGAGTTGAAGGAAGGGGTGGAGGAGGTTCCGCTCGAGCAAACCTTGCATCCTTTGCAATTGCTCTCCGAGCTGACGCACATCGCGGCCATTTTGCCAAAACTACAGGTCTGGCTTTCTGCCTACCCTTTCGAGTAAGTGGACGCTGATACCTGCCTGTAGCGCCATAGTCAAGGAGATCCGCGTGTACTCACACGCGACCCCTCTTGCTCCTTCCAGCATCATCAAGTCTCGTCTGCAAACCGACGCCATT